TTCTTATTGTGCCCGTTCCAAGCAGTGCCAAACAATGCCAAGCAATGCCGAGCACTGCCGAGCACGGCCAAGCAGTGCCCAGCAACGCCAAGCACTGCCAAGCGGTGCCAAGCTGCGCCAGGCAATGCCAAGCAGTGCCAAGCAGTGCCGAGCACAGCGCCCCTGCAACAGGGAAGCTTGCCCCTCAGCGGGGCCGCGCCAGGCTCGCTCGGCAAGCACGGGCGCGATCGAGGCGCCGACGCCAGGGCCACCTCGGGGCCGAGACGTGGGGCCCCGCTGCTCGGGCCGTTCCTCCGTCCCGGGTCGGGGAAGGTCGGCGCGGCCGCGGCTCGCCGTGGTGTCGTCTTGGGCCCATCTGGGAGGCTGCTTGGGCCGGCCGTCATGGGCCCCCGAGTGTCGAACATGGCGAGAATGCGAAAATCATGCAAATCACAGGGGAGCTATTTTTTTGGCCTCTGGAGGTACTTTTGGGGCCCCCTTAGATCCCTCTGGGGCCATCTTTGGGAGCGTCTGTGGCCGACTTGGGGCCATCTTAGGCCGTCTTGGGGCCGTCTTGGGCCGTCTGGAGGCCATGTTGAGCCGTTTGGAGGCTTTTGGCTTTTTGGACCCTCAAGAGGCCCAATATTCCAAAATCATATGCTTTCCAATGCTCTAGAGGCCCAGAAAGGCTTGGTTGGGAGTGGTCGACGGGGTATGGGGGGGCGCATAATAGTGTAAGACAATCCAAGATGTAACAATGCTTTAGTAAAGGCATATGTACATGGCAGTTCGGTATTTTTTGAATATGCTGGATACGTTCCATTACAGCATGCGTGGACCTGCGGCAACAGGTTCCTTTCGGACGTGGATTCCCCTCGCTTCGCGGGGTACACGTCTGGAGCACCCGGGCGATGGGCGGTTTGCTCTGCTCGTCTACCGCGAAGTTCTGCCGCGTCGTTCTGCCCGGCCAGGGGCGCTGTTATCCGACGAAGGCGTCTATACACCACCACCGTGCCAGGCCAGGGCCATCCTGGGCCCTAGGATGGTGTATAGACCCTCCTGGCCGCGGCCAGGAGGGCGTATGCACCATGCCAGGGCCAGGATGGCCCTGGCTTGGCACGGTGGTGGTGTATAGACGCCTTCTGCGTATGTTAGCTCCACGGGGGGGCGGATGCGCCCCCCCCCCTTCCCGTTTCAGCGCCAGGGCGAGCGTGCGAATGTCCACGAGGGCATTGAGCGTTCACCGCGTGCCAGCACGAGGCAACGAAAAGTTCAAATTTCGATGAGCGCAGCAACAGCGCGCCATTCGTGTACAATTCCGCTGGCCTCTTGGTGGTTTCTTGGGGCTGTTTAGGGGCTTCTTGGGGGCCTCGTGGAGGCTTCTTTGGGTCACCTGGGGGCCTCTTTTGGACCTCTTTGGGGCCTCTTGGGGCCTTTTGAGGCCTCTTGGGACGTTTCGGGGCCCTCTTGGGGGAGTCACGGGCTGTCTTGCGGCGATAGTTGAGGCCTCTATGAGCGTCGGGGAGGCTGTCGAGACGACGGAGACAGACAATGGTGAAGCCGCGCGTAGGCAATGGGGCGATTTTCGCTCTTTGTGGCCCTTTCGGCGGTACTCTGGGAGCACTCTTGAGCCGTCTTGAAGGCTCAGTGGTGCGTTTCGACGCTCTCATGGATTATGCTGGCGCTCTTGTTGGAATCTCTTTGGCCGTCTTGGAACTTCCAGGGCCGTCTCGGGGCCACAAGGGGCGCCCAGGGATGGCCGGACCCCCCACCCGGATGAGTTCCCAGGCCCCCGGGGGGGCGCGGTCGAACTGAATTGCCGGTTTGGGGGCCCCAGAGGGGGGGGGAGAATCTCACACGCCTGGAGACCCGCAAGGGGTCGGCGTACTTTGCGCATTTAGGCAATCGCCGTCCCGGGCACATTGCTCACCACACCCGAGACCTGAGTTCGCTTCCCTCCCTTTGTCCCCCTCTCCTCCTCCTCCTCCTCCTCCTCCTCCTCCTCCTCCTCCTCCTCCTCCTCCTCCTATCCTCCTCCTTCTCCTCCTATCCTCCTCCTCCTCCTATCCTCCTCCTCCTCCTCCTCCTCATCCTCCTCCTCCCTCTCCTCCTATCCTCCTCCTCCTATCCTCCTCCTCCTCCTCGTCCTATCCTCTCTTCCTCCTCCTCCTCTTCCTCTTCCTCCTCCTCCTCCTCCTCCGTTCGCCCTCTCAGCGCACGTCCGAAAGAGCACCGAGTGCTTCCCGAGTCCCTGGAGCGGATGCCCCCTGAAGGATCGCGAGCCCGCCCCCCCCCTCCCCCAGCGCCGCCAGGCCATGCGCAGGGCTGGCGCGCTCCTCTACCGCGGCCGCGCCCCGATTGGTCACTGTCGCCGTCGCCGTCGCCGTCGCTGTCGCCGTCGCCGTCGCCTTCGCCGTCGTCGTCGCCGTCGCCGCCGCCGTTGTTGTTTGCGACGTCGTCGTCGTCGTCGTCGTCGTCGTCGTCCTCGTTTGCGACGTCGTCGAAGTCGCCGTCGCCGTCGCGACGAGTACGGCAAACGGGAACGACGACGAGTGCGACGACGACGATAAGTTTCGACGACGGCTGCGACGAGGTGGCGAGCGGTGGCGACGACGACGACGACGCCCACACGTAATTATGACGATTATAACAGCGATGGTGACGAGAACTACGGCGACGCTAGATGAACTGGAAGGGGCGCATCAAAAGGGATGTGGAGGATTCTCCTCCTCCTCTTCCTCGATCTCTTCTCCGTATCCCTTTTTCCTCCTCCTCCTCCTCCTCTGCCCTCCTCCCTCCTCCCTCCATGTCATTGTCATTATCCTGTTCTTCTTCTTCTTCTTCTTCCTCTTTCTCTTCTTCTTTTTTTTGTTCTTCTTCTTCTTCATCCCGTTGGTGCTGCATTTCCTGCTCCCTCCTCCGGCCTGTCACGACTGTCCTCCCTCCTCCCCCTTCGCCTCTTTCGCTCCCTCCTCCACCCCTCCCGGGCGCCGCTCGAGCTCCCGCGCTGGCTCCCACGGTTTTTCCGAGCGGGGGTCGAGAGACCCGACGAGAGCCTCCCGAGGCCCGAAAGCCTGGCCGAGCAACACACTCGGCGGGCGGGTGAGGCGGGATGGTGCAGGAGGAGGTCGAGGAGGTGGCAGGAGGATGGAGGAGGAAGATGAGGAGGAGGAGGAGGAGGTGGAAGAGGAGTAGGAGCAGGAGGAGGAGGCGGAGGAGTAGGAGGAGGAGGAATAATGATAATACTACTAGTAAGAAGAGTAATCTTACCAATGATGCTAATACGAACATTACCAACAGTAATCGTAAAAGCAATATGAAGCGTACTAGTATTGATAATAAGAAAATGCGAAACATAATACGAACACTAAGAATGTCACCAATCATGAACATCATTCCCCAATCAGAGCTTGCCATTGTAGGGGTCCCAGCGGATTCATATGGTTAGGTGAGGTGCGTCGCCGATTTCTGTGGCTGGCCCGAGTGCCCTGGTGCCCGGGTGCCCAGGTGCCCGTGCGCCCGTGTGCCCGGGGGTGCCAGGAGGTGCATGGGGGTGCCCGGAGGTGCCCGGGGGTGCCCGGAGGTGCCCGGGTGTGCCCGGGTGCCCGGGTGCCCGTGTGCTCTATCGCTCTATAGCCCTATCGCCGTATAGCTCTATAGCCATATAGCCCTATAGCCATATGGCCCTATAGCCCCATAGCCCGAGAGCCCTATAACCTTATAGTCCTTAGCCATATAGCCCTACAGCCCTGCAGCCCTGTAGCCCTAGCCCTTTAGTTCTATAGCCCTATTAGCCCTATAGCCTTATAGCCCTATAGCCCTAGAGACCAACAGCCCAATAGCCCAATAGCCCCTATAGCCCTATAGCTCTATAGCCCTATAGCCCTGTAGCCCTACAGCCCTATAGCCTGATAGCCCTATAGCCCTATAGCCCTATAGCCCTACAGCCCTGTAGCCCTATAGCCCTACAGCCCTATAGCCCTACAACCCCATAGCCCTATAGCCCTATAGCCCTATAGCCCTATAGCCCTATAGCCCTATAACCCTACAGCCCTATAGGCCTATAGGCCTATAGCCCTATAGCCCTATAGCCCTAGCCATCATGGCCTTCATAGCCCTCGCAGACTTCATAAACCTAAGGAGCAATTGCAATGGGATCTCATGTAATTTCAAAAGAGACTCTGATTTTTTCTGATACCATATACAAGTATCAATAATTTCGAATAATCATAATACCATTGTGAATAGTAATACTAGCACTACTAGTGATACGACTAAGAATCATATTCAGAGTAAGGCAAGCAATAACAATAAACACTGCAGTATGGATCATACGTTTGTTTAAACATATTATGAACCATATTGTTATTAAGACGTTGCGTACGAACAACATAGGAATAGTAATACTAGGGCAACTCATACTACTGCTGCTGCTACTACTACTAATGATGTTGATCACATACTAGTAGTACTACTGATAATAACCATGCTACTATCAATGCTAATGCTAATGCTCATCTTTTTTATTCCTACTAGTAATACTACCACTACTACTATTGCTGCTACTACTACATCAACTACTGCTACAACAACTAATACTGTTATTACTACTACTGCTACAACTACTACTACAACCGCTACTATTACTACTACGACTACTGCTTCTACTACTACTTCTACTACTTTCACTACTACTACTATTACTACTACTACTACTACTACTACAGCGACTACTACTACTACGACTACGACTACGATCACGACTACTACTACGACGACTTCTACTACTACTACTACTACTACTACTACTACTACTACTACTACTACTATCACAACTACTACTATCACAACTACTACTACGACTACTACTACTACTACTACTACTACTATCACAACCATCACTACGACTACTACTACTACCACTACTACTATCACTACTACTACTACTACTACTACTACTACTACCACTACTACTACTACTACTACTACGACTACTACGGACTACTACTAACTACTCTCACTACACTACTACTACTACTCTCTAACTACTTCTACTACTACTTCTACTACTACTTCTACTTCTCTTTCTCTTCTTCTACTACTACTACTACTACTACTGCTACTACTACTACTACTACGACTACTACTACTACTACTACTACTACTACTACTACTACTACTAGTACTAGTACTAGTACTAGTACTACTACTACTACTACTACTACTACTACTACTACTACTACTACTACTACTACTACGATAATAATAGCAGTCGCAGTCGTAACACAGAAAGTATTCTCATACGCACCTCTCCGAGACAGTAGAGCTCAGAGGCGATTAAAGCGTACGCGCCGCGTCGTTCGCGTTTTTTCTCGCCGTTTCGCTAGGGACATCCTCGACATTATGGAAATCGGTGGCACCCCTCACACAGGTCGTGACGTCAGGGTCCAAAAACACATGGGAATTTTAACATTTTAACATAAAGCCTTCAAAAACACATTGTAATTTCAATTATTTTGATTCAGATTCTCAGAGAATGGCGGTTTCGCCTGAGACATCCTCCCAAAATCGAGCCCCGACGTACCTTCTGGTACCCCAGACCCCGCCTCGGAGCCTCCTGGGGGCCTCCTGGGGCCTCCTGGAGCCTCCTGGGGCTTTCTGTATTTTCTGGTGCCCCAGACTCGGCCTCGCAGCCTCCTGGGGGTCTCCTGGAACCTCCTGGGGCCTCCTTGGGCCTCCTGCGGTCTCCTGGAGCCTCTTAGGGCCTCCTGGAGCCTCCTGGGGTCTCCTGGGGCCTCCTGAGGCCGCCTGGGGCCTCCTGGGGCCTCCCGGGGCCTCAGAACTACATGCACACACAGAGACAGAAATCACACCCAACACATTACACGCTAGACAAACATAACACACACGACACCTACAACGCACAGAAAACACGAAAAACACAGAGCACACATAACACACACACACACACACACACCCACACAACACTCACAATCCTGGGGCCTCCTGGAGCCTCTTCCGGTATCCAAATCGGGCCTCCTGAGGCTTCCTGGGGGGCCCTGGTACACACATCGCAAGGTGTGGCAACCCCACTTGCGCTCGAGTGCGACCTGGCTATTGCATTTCACTCCCAGCAGCTATCCTCCTCCTCTTCTCCTGCTTCAAACGCCCTTTCAGTTTTTTTTGGTATGAGCCTGGGCACATGTGTCCCACTAGTTAATTAGTAGCGTAAGCATAAGTATTAGGGTAATAATGATGGTAATAATGCTATTCGTACTACTAACAACAAGAAGGGAAGGAGGAAGAGGAGGTCGAGGAGGTGACTGGAGGGAGGAGCAAGAGGAGCAGTAGCAGTAGGAGGAGGAGGAGGAGGAGGAGGAGGAGGAGGAGAGAGGAGGGAGGAGGAGGCGGAGGAGGAGGAGGAGGAGGAGGAGGAGGAGGAGGAGGAGGAGGAGTAAGGAGGAGGAAGGAGGAGGAGGAGGAGCACAGTGAGTGGCAAGCTTGCTATCAGCCCCCGGCGCGGGAGGTCGCCAGAGCCTGCCGCGGTCGGCGCCGCTGGCCGGTGGCCCTGCCTGCCCCGGCCTCCGCCGAGTGGTGCCTCCCCTGGGGCCGCGCGCCGACCCGAGCAGCGCCGTCACCAGGCCGTCGGGGAATGTGGCGGAGGGCGAGTGTACGGCAGCTCCTCCTCCTCCTCCTCCTCCTCCTCCTCCTCCTCCTCCTCCTTTTCCCTCCTCCTACTCCTTCCTCCTCCTCCCTCCTCCTCCTTCTCCTCCTCTCCGCCTCCTCCACTCCTCCTCCTCCTCCTCCTCCTGGCCCCCTCCTTCCACCTGCCCTTTCCTCCCGCTCCTCCTCCTCCTCCTCCTCCTCCTCTCCTTCCCTCTCCCTTCGTTGTTTTGCCGATCGGCGCGGGCCCTCGCCCCCCCCCCTTCCCCCCCATGGAGCAGATCTTGGCTGCGTTGGGCGCCTGTCTCACGCAGGTGGAGTCTCCCCCATGGGACGCACTGGTGCAAACGGTCGCACTAAGCAGAGGTCCGGAGCCAGACCCCCCCCCTGCCCCTTCCCTTCCGCCCAATGTCGAAACGCCGAATAAGAAAACGTTCACCAGGTTCGCGCCTCGATGACGCAGGGGCAACCCCAGCGCGGGCGTCCAAGTTGAACACTGCCAGCGGTCCACAATCGGTGGAGGTCGAACGGTCTGCGCCATCGTAAAGCGGCGACTGGTCGAGGTTGAACGATCTAACGCCGAAGTCGTCACGGCACGAATCAGCCATACGGAGGGGGAACAGAGTGGTACAGGAGGGTGAGTGAGAGTAGAGGCGAGTAGTATAGGCGATGACGTGTATCGAATATTTTCTGTGCCCTGCGGGGGATGGTCGTTATTGTATGCTGCTGGAGTGAGCCCTTTTTCGAACTACGTATACATAACCAGTGTGTCGCGGGGTTGCGCAGATGTTGACTCTTTAGTATCTATGGTAACGCACACGTTTCCGCACCCGTACCAAAACGCCGTCTGCGCCACGCATTGTATTGGTAGTTTTGCTGTTTCGGTTGCAGCTGTTGCTGGTGCTGTTATCGATATTGCCACCGCTGGCTTTTCTTAATGTCAGACTTGGGGTAGTATTACGGGGACGTCAATCGTCATCATCGTGCTTGTTTTTGCTAATAACTGCGACTGCTACAATTAGCTGCTGCTCCGAACACTGCTTCAGCTGCCACTGACATCTCCAGGACGAACATTTTGTGACCTGGAATTATGTTTTTAACTTGCGCTGGCGCGCATGAGAGAGACCTTGGCGGATCCAATTCAGGTGGTGCGGATCCGAATTTGGTTATGACTATAGTGTTGCCATGAATTCGATTTCCGTCTGCGCGGATCCGACTGCAAATGTAGTGGATCAGATTTTCGTCTTGTTTTTCGCAAGGATCCATGTTCCATACCCCGTTCTTCAATGCGTGCAATTGAACGAGGCGGGGGAACTGGGAGAAATCGCAGCCGCCGCACTCAGGCCCGCCGCTGTTAAGATCCTACGGGGGCGTGGCTTGGGTCACGAGCTGGCCGCCCCCTCTCCATGGCTTGTTTTCGTGCCGTTCGTCGTCCCTGGCCCCCCTGCCTGGCCTCCCTGGTGGCCCCCCTGCCCTGGCCCCCCCCGGACCCCGCCTCCCCGGCCCCGGCCTGCTCCTGCCCTGGCCTCCCTCTGGGCCTCCCCGCCCTGGCCTCGGGACCCCGCCCCACTGGCCCTTGCCTTCCGGGCCGCCCCCCCCAAGGCTTCTCTTCGTGCCGTTCGCCGCCCGTGGCCCTCTTCCGCCTGGCCTCCCTGGAGGCATCCCCGCCCACCCCGCTTCCCCGGTACTAGTAAAAATTCTTTACGCTTCGCGTATCCCCACCAGCCCATCTCTCAGCAGCAACTCTTGCGAAGCATGCCGACAGTCGCGTTTTTCAGGCGTGTGTCCGCTTGGCCCCGCATATCTCCCCTGTTCCTCCTTCCTCCCGCCTCCTTGTACATCCTCCATGTGGGGGGAGCGGGAGAAGGACGAGGCGGAGGAGGAGGGAGAGAAAGCGCTCCTCGTGATTTGAGTCGTTTGGGGTTTCTCGTCCTGGTGTGAGTCGTTCGGGCCCTTCTTCCTGGTGCGAGTCGTTCGGGCTCTTCGTGGTGTGAGTCGTTCGGGCTCTTCGTCCTGGTGTGAGTCGTTCGGGCTTCTCGTGGTGTGAGTTGTTCGGGCCCCTCGTCCTGGTGTGAGTCGTTCGGGCCCCTCCTCCTGGTGTGACTCGTTCGGGCTCCTCGTGGTGTGAGTCGTTCGGGGCCCGCGTCGTGGTGTGAGTCGTTCGGGCTCCTCGTGGTGTGAGTCGTTCGGGCGCCTCGTCCTGGTGTGAGTCGTTCGGGCCCCTCCTTGTGGTGTGAGTCGTTCGGGCTCTTCGTGGTGTGAGTCGTTCGGGCCCCTCGTCCTGGTGTGAGTCGTTCGGGCTCCTCGTGGGGCCTCTTGGGGGCCTCTTGGAGCCTCTTGGGGCCTCTTGGGGGCCTCTTGGGGGCCTCTTGGGAGCCTCTTGGGGGCCTCGTGGGGCCTCTTGAGGCCTCTTGGGGGCCTCTTGGGGGCCTCATGGGGGCCTCTTGGGGCCGCTGGGGGGCCTCTGGGGGGCCTCTGGGGGGCCTCTGGGAGGCCTCTTGGGAGCCTCCTGGGGGCCTCTTGGGGCCATCTTGGGACCTCGTGCGAGCTCCTCAGAAGCGCAATGGAGGGCTGCCCCCTGAGAAGGACAAAATGAGCCCAAAACCTTAGTAAAATCAATGATTTTGCTATGAAGGACGAGGAGCGCTGCCCCCTCAGAAGGCCAAAATGGGGCCCCAACCCTAGTAAAATCAATGATTTTGGCTTCAAAGAAGAGGGGAGAGGGTTTTTTCTCCGGCCCCCCGTCGGGGCCAGAATCCTCGCGAGGGTCGTCGTTTTTTTGGGCCTCCCAGGAGTCGAAATTTACCCCCCTGACGACCCGCGGGGCGCCCTCTCCAGGCCCAGGGGGAGGGGGTAGGGGGAGGGGTAAACCCCTCCCCGAAGGGGAAGAAGGGGGGTTGAGAACAGAGCGGGCTCTCTAAACCACTCACGCCCAAAGGGCTGGTGGGATAATACGAGGTCTTCGAAGAAGAAGAAGAAACATTTTGTCGCTCCGCGAGGATCCTTGGATCCGCGCTGCTCCCTCCCCGGCCCTGGCCTGCCCCAGCCCTGGCCTCCTCCCTTCCTTCCCTGGCCTCTCCGGGCCCTGCCGCGTCCCTGCCGCCCTGGCCCTTCCGGACCCCGTCCCGCGGGCCCTGGCCTCCCCGGCCGCCCCCTCGAGAGCGTGTCGCTCGTCGTCCGCGGGCCCACCTGCCCGGGCTCCCGCCCCTGCCCTGGCCTCGGGGCCCCGTCCCGCCAGCCCTGGCCTCGGGGGCCGCCCCCCTCGGAGGCTCCTTCTCGTGCCGCTCGTCGGCCCTGGCCCCCCTGCCCTGGCCTCCCTGGCGGCCTCCCTGCCTCGATGAGCCCCGGGACCCCGCCTCCCCGACCCCGGCCTCCTCCCGCCCTGGCCTCCTCGATTCTGGCGGCGCTGCCGAGTGAGACGACGTTGGTCGACGAGGTCGCATAGGGTTGCAATGCCTCGATGCCGCGGTCGTTTGCCGGCGTGTGCAGCACTCGCGCGCCACCATCCTCAATTTTTCGCATCCTTGATTTTATGATCCTTGGCACGCGTGCCTCGTGTGCTCGGCGTGTGGTTACACACTCCAGATAGGCCCAGCAATTCTTGTCGCTGCCTCGGATTTTTCCCAACCATCCTGTGGTGTTGGGTCCTCGTTTTGAAGAGACGGTGCCCCGCGTTCTCCTTCCTTCCTTCCTTCCTCCCGCTGCCTCCTCCCCCCTCCCATCTTCATCATCATCAACACCCATTTCGGCACACCCCTCACACGTTTCGTGGCTCCATAGGGAGCTCCACCGAAGGCCCCAGTGCCCGCGGCCGCATGCGTCCCCCACACCCATTTCGGCACACCCCTCACACGTTTCGTGGCTCCATAGGGAGCTCCACCGAATGCCCCAGTGCCCGCGGCCGCAAGCGTCCCCCACACCCATTTCGGCACACCCCTCACACGTTTTCGTGGTCATCGGAGCTCCACGCAGGCCTCAGTGGCCCGCGGCCGCATGCGTCCCCCCCACCCATTTCGCACACCCCTCACACGTTTTCGTGGATCCATAGGGAGCTCACCGAAGGGCCCAGTGCCCGCGGCCGCATGCGTTCCCCACACCCATGTCGGCACACCCTAATAGGGAGCTCCACGAAAGGCCCAGTCGGCCCGCGGCCGCATGCGTCCCCCACACCCATTTCGGCACACCCCTCACACGTTTCGTGGCTCCATAGGGAGCTCCACCGAAGGCCCCAGTGCCCGCGGCCGCATGCGTCCCCCACACCCATTTCGGCACACCCCTCACACGTTTCGTGGCTCCATAGGGAGCCCCACCGAAGGCCCCAGTGCCCGCGGCCGCATGCGTCCCCCACACCCATTTCGGCACACCCCTCACACGTTTCGTGGCTCCATAGGGAGCTCCACCGAAGGCCCCAGTGCCCGCGGCCGCATGCGTCCCCCACACCCATTTCGGCACACCCCTCACACGTTTCGTGGCTCAATAGGGAGCTCCAACGAAGGCCCCAGTGCCCGCGGCCGCATGCGTCCCAAACCCATTTCGGACACCCCTCACCGTTTCGTGTCCCCCTCACCGTTTCGTGTCTCCATAGGAGCTCCCGAAGGCCCCAGTGCCCGCGGCCGCATGCGTCCCCCACACCCATTTCGGCACACCCCTCACACGTTTCGTGGCTCCATAGGGAGCTCCACCGAAGGCCCCAGTGCCCGCGGCCGCATGCGTCCCCCACACCCATTTCGGCACACCCCTCACACGTTTCGTGGCTCCATAGGGAGCTCCACCGAAGGCCCCAGTGCCCGCGGCCGCATGCGTCCCCCACACCCATTTCGGCACACCCCTCACACGTTTCGTGGCTCCATAGGGAGCTCCACCGAAGGCCCCAGTGCCCGCGGCCGCATGCGTCCCCCACACCCATTTCGGCACACCCCTCACACGTTTCGTGGCTCCATAGGGAGCTCCACCGAAGGCCCCAGTGCCCGCGGCCGCA